CACGCCACGGACCAACACTCAACCATCAATACATTTCAGAAATGATTTCAATGGCATATTTCAAATGACACTATCGATTTCATTTGCATACGGTTGGGATAGCATAACTTTGTGAATTTCCTGTTCATGAAAAAACCCAAATGACATTTTGGTTTTCAGGTAAAGCAGATTTTAACATTCAGAAACATAATCCATATTTGATCACAGCACTGAGTAATGCATGTTTAATGTCTGTCTGCAGTGGTATATATAGTATTTTGTTTCTAGCTGTTACCTGTAAGTGGAACTTGTACCTTTGTGTATTTGTTGTTTGTACCCAGTACTCCCATCAATATCAGTCAATTGTGTAAACAATTGCGTCTTGGCGACACAAACCAGTGATTGATATTATGAGCAAAGTCCCATCAACAAGTGCACTGAGCCTGAGGTGAGGTGAAATTGGGTTTAACGTCGCGTCCAAGATTATTGCACTTATATAGCGACGTGCATGCACGTGTATGTGTGTGTGTGGCTGCTTGTACTAGTCCGGACTGATGCCGATTTATAGTGCTAGCTCACTGAGATACCATGCCGCAGTTTAACATGAATACCCCACTCAGACACAGTATACTGACTCCGAGCCGACCAGTCCTTGTTTTAGCCCCTTAATGCCGAGCGCCAGACAGGGTAACAACAAGTACAATCTTTTAACGTCTTTTTGTATGACGCGGCCCGGGATCGAACCCTGGACCTTCCGCTCTCCGGGCGGACGCTCTACCACAAGACCACGGAGGCGGTCGCACTGAGCCTGAGCACACACAAGATACTGACCTATTCTAACCTAAATCCCTACTTTAAATATTCAAGTTAATACCAGTCAGACAGCTGGATAGCATGAACAACGATCCTTGCTTTCATTGTAGGCTCTCAATCAGGTCACATGAAGCCCTGATATCTATTGGGGTACAAGTGAGTTCATTTGTCACCACTCACCCCTTTCCGTAACGCTAGTCACGGAATAACACGAGTTGGTCACGAATGAAGTGAGTTGTTTCAAGCAGCTTTGGATGCTAGACCGGTGAAGATATCCAGGGTAGAATAGGTCTTCAGCAAAACATGCTTGCTGTAAAAGGTAACTCTGCTTGTCCTAAGAGGCAAATAAAGGATCGGGTGGTCAGGCTTGTTGACTTGGTTGATGCATGTCATTGTATCCCAATTGTGTGGAACGATGTGCATGATGTCAATTACTGGATAGTCTGGTCCAGACTACCGTCACATAGCTGAAATATTGCTGAGTGCGGCGTTAAACAACAAACAAACAAACAAACAATCAAATTTTGGACACTATTTCAGTTACATCACTGCAGGTCAGTTTAATGTGCCAGGAGAGGTTCCTGAGGTTCAGGTCTTTACCACTTTGGCAAAAGCCATGAGCATGGTACAGACAAACCAATAAACAGCATCCTGGTGATTCAGGGATTCAAACTGGCAGGCCTCAGTACACAACTCTGCACAGTGAATTTGAGCACACATGCCCTCTCTTAGTGTGAGTGCATGCATGGACACCTGTGTTGGAAGGTGCGAACAAGGTTTTCATCTTCAGGGGGACCTTGAAATTCAGCTACTTCAGTCCTTGTCTAGTGAGTGAGTGAGTGAGTGAGTTTGGTTTTACGCTGCTTTTGGCAATATTCCAGCAATATTATGGCGGGGGACACCAGAAATGGGCCTGTCCTTGTCTAAAGGGCGACACCATGACTATGAACACACCGGCAAATTCATTCACAGACAAGTTCCATAAATCCATGATTGACACTATTGTAAAATAAAAACACAAGTTTATTTTATACAATAAGACTTTTATTTGACGCATCCCATTACAATAGGTATCCACAATAAATTATTTCACCTCTACAGGTTCAGATACTACAGAAACCAACAGGTAGGAGGTGCACCATTGCTATGGCAACATAACCAGTTTCATTTTGGGGTTGACCTGTTCAATATGGAGAGGTGGACCAGCCCGAATCACGTGATCATAGGTCAAGGTCGGGCACTAGCAGAACCCATATTGCATAGACGGCAACGTAAAAACCTCAATTGCCCCAAACTCTCAACAGGATATTTTGGCAAGTACACATGCAAGGTGAATTTCAAAATTCAAAATCGGATTCAGAAAATAAATCATACAACAGAATGAATACTGTTTCATGCAACTCCAGCAACAACTTGATCGGTACTTGAGGCTGAAAAATGGAGTGCATGAAGATATTTCATTATTCAATGAATCACTAATTGAACTGAATGAACAAATTTTCAGACAAATACATATTTCATAATCTGCATGTCAAATGAGCCCTGGGGGGCCCCCAAGCAGGATGGGGGAGGGTAGGGGAGAGGGGTACGTGGGAATCTATACACTAAAATATTTAAGTTGATAACTAGTAGCCATCAATTGCAGTAAACCGACACACAGCACTCTCTTGAATAGAGAACTTTGAAGCATGGCTTGTTCTGCTCAACATACAAACAAAGTAAAATCATCATTGTCAAATTATTATCAGAAATAACAAGATAAAATTCCATTCACATGAAGCGATACATAGACATTTCAACTTAAAAAATATACCCCATCACATTTCTTTGCTAAAATGTCACTTCCCCTTGTTCGGTGTACAAACTAAACTAATTTCTGATGACAATTTGCAAGCTGTTATACACCATACACATGAAAAGTGAGTTCTACAATAAAACAATTCATCGAAACTCAACAAGACTCAAAGGAGATCATGTACCGAGAGAGTAGTAAAACACTAAAAGCCATGAAACCATGGCAACAGAGTCCTAACTTATTGCTGTTTACAATAACAAGTGCCAATATGCAGAAGACATACAACTTATTTAAATCATGATTAGTTCCCATTGTCATTTCAATTTCATTTGGCCGATCACTGAAACTGAAACAGCCATTGTGCATAACGTTGACATTCTCAGAAGCTGTTGTTGATAGGTTAGGAATAGGACATTAAAAAACACACCAATCTTTGTTGTCATTACAGTGAAACCCTGTTATTCTATACAGGAAATTGTGAATTGAGAAATTGTTTGGATTAAAAAAATTCTACAGAACAGCAATGTCTTAGTTCATCAAATAAATACTTTCTGAATAGTCCGATCGCCAAGACAGACTAAGATCGTATTGGATTGACAGGGTTTCAAATTCAGAGGGCTGGATCATGCAATGACACAATGAAAACAATATTCATGGGGCCGTAGCCTAAATCAACAAATCTAAAACTCCCAGATGAACCGTGAGGAAAGCCCTTCATAGACATGCATACTACAAATAAGGGTTCATCTGTATATTTCGCACCAATGATACATTTCTAAAACTTTGGAACAATGTCAATAAATGATTCATGAAGAGAGGTGAAAATACACATTACAATTTGGTCAAAAAGTTGTGCGTTCAGCATTCCAAGAACTCACTGGTGACATCATTGCAGGAACTTTCACACAACATCGCGGGATGAAGCAGCGCAACGCTCTTCATCAGCATCATTAATGCACATGAACAAGGATGATATCATGAACTGGCACGGAAACTGGGAACAAAATACCTGATAGCTCCTTAACCACCGATGTTATTGTTATTTGGGTGATCCAACACAATGTTTATCACATGGATGAATAGGCTTCATAATGTTATCCTTTACAACATGCTGAAATTAGCTCTCACAGTATTATTGATATTTCGTTGTCATGGAAACTACACAACAGTCTATCTACAATACAGTTCAACTCAAATTACTGCAGTTAGTAGATGCTATTACAGAAGTTAATGTTTCTGCTTAACATGTTTAAAGAAACAGGGATCAGTAAACCTCAAATGTTTGATCTTAGCTAGTTGAGTTCAACTTTTGTCCAATGGGGAAAATAGTTGATAAAAATAGTTGAACTATATAACAGCAACAACTAACAGATTAACTAAACAATAGATCATTCAAGACTGCCTCTATAGTCACTGTATACTTCAGTCATTCTACACAGTTAGACATGCATTCCACATTTGCTTGAAGATTTATTTTCTAAGCATTGTTAACTGGCTGTAACAAAAATCAATCAGACAATTAATTCTTGTGTTACTTTCTTATTTTCAAAGACATTTTGGAGGTGCTACTGAATAATTGTCCCCTAGAGTGCAAAGTATTAGAAAGCATTGGCCTGAATAAATATTTTATCACATTTAGCACAGCAATAGCTTCTATGCAGGGTTCTATATTTGGCAGTGGGTTGATCATATACATTAACTAACAGTCAATACCATATTCAAGTCAAACAGTTATATCTACACAATCTTAAGAAAAGAATTTCTATTATTGAAACATAATTCTGCTTAATCACTTGGATCACTATATCAGTATATAAGTTAAAAATATGTGGGTAAAATGTACACATGACAAAACTCAATGCATGGTTTAGGGTGAGTCTAGTCATACACACATAGCGTGACGAATCTAGACATGCTGAATAATACCACAGTGTTGTTGTTAATGCTGCACCTCTTGACTAACGGCCAGGCCAGTTTTCAACAGTGATAAAAGACAGTGAGTGTGAAAATGAGTGACAGAGAGGCTTTGGTTTAATACTGCTTTCAACAGTATTTCAGTTATATAACCGCATGTCAGCTTGTGTGAATGAGTGAGTTTGATTTTACGACACTTTTAGCAATATTCCAGCAATATCACGGCGGGGGACACCAGAAATGGGCTTCACACATTGTACCCAAGTCGGGAATCGAACCCGGGTCTTCAGCGTGACAAGCGAACGCTTTAACCACAATGCTACCCGACCACCCCAACATGTCAGCTTGATGTGGGAGGACTGACATGTTACCATTATCAGGGATGAGAATGGATACTTATTTGCAATGGTCCAAATTGGGGGTGTTAATGGGGGAAGCCATCAGGTTTTCACAAATTCGTGGTCACTAAAATTCGCCCCTGCATATATTGTCACCCCTGCCCATGATCATGGGATGTGTTTGGTGCTGGCAAACCAAAAATAATAATCCGGGGGAATCTAAGATTTGAACTCACATGTAAGGTTTCCGGCACCCTGGGGGATGCACTGAGTGAACTGTGGCAACACAAACTACTAGGCCAGCTGTGTGCCACTCCCCACACCAACTGATCAAAGATCTCAGACCAATGACATAATTAGTAAGACCTTTATAAATGGTCTCACTAAAAATAGTCATAGGCTTGTTTGTGGACAAGGGGGAAATGGGGAAATATTATGAACATGTAGAAACCACATGATCAATGATGTTTCACATGAGCAAGGACGGAAGGTCCACTGTCAGAAACTATGGTCTAAGTTTAGAACTTCAGATTGGAATTATTTGACTCAAGATGTTCAAATTTTTGTCTGTGAGGTAGCAATATTTCTATCTGGTCATCTAAACTGTCACTCATATATAATATTGAGTCTTACTATTACTTCTCAAGCATATACTGGTCTGACCAAATATGGACAAGTAACAACAGCAGTCAATACTAAGAGTGAGTGAGCGAGTTGGGTTTGAACAGTATTCCAGTTATATCATGGCATGTCAGCTTAATGTGGGAGGAAAGACCGAAGTGGTACAGGTCTCAGACATTGACCAATTTGGTGAAACCCCAAGCACTGGTATGGTGATTACAAACCTAGAAACACAATCTAGGTGAAGCGGGATTCGAACCCACGATCATAGGTTCTGTGCTGAAGGATACTACTCTTGAAGCACCTCAGAAGAAAGGGGAACCCGTGCTCCCAAAATATAATATGAGTCACATCCAACAGGAGTAATGCAAATTCAAATAAGCAGTATTCAAAGTTAAGGAAGATCCTGAGTTCCTTGAGGTCTTTCCACGATATTTGAACCCAGAGACCCTTAAATCTTCAACTTCTTGCGTTATGGTTATGCCAAGGATCCCTTGACTTTCAATGCCTAATTTCAAACATTGGTAAGCATACATGAAACTTAAGGGAACTAAGACTGTCGGAGTCGAACCACATACATGAACAGATTGCCGTCATCATATAACTCATCAACTCCAGCGTCTGCAAAGATGAGTTGGATGAAGCCAATACATAGATGCTGATGGGTGATGGAGATCTAGAAGCATTCAATACCAGCCTCAATGATTATCACATGACATGACATCAAAAGTGAAAGATCGTGTCCTCATCACGGGGTTGCGATCACGGGGATGCTTGCGGACGATGAAGCTTGACGATGATGGCGTTCACTGGGTGTACATCTTGATGACTCGCTGTGCTTCTCGGTATCCGGTTAGTAGAGCGCCATGTGTTGTGGAGTAGAATGAGGGGTGAGTTGCCTCCCCTGCAAACATCACCTGGGGCTGAAAAAAGCAGGATTCAGTGTTAAACATGACAGTCTGTCACACAGTCCCTGAACCATATTACTCTCCCTTCTGCTTAGCCTTTACTATAATGCTACAACTTATAAAAAGCAAGTCTAGAGTCTCCACAGGTTCTGAATATCTGGGTCTCCTTTTAAATATAAATGGTGTTTAGCCCTACCTTTACAAGAAACTAAAAAGTTGATCACAGAAATCTGCATCCATTGTATCACATCTCATTTGCCTCCATAGTCTCATTTTGAGATTTATTTGACATGAAACTAAATATAGCTGTCTATTACTTTTAAATTACTATCAATAGAAGGGAAAATTTAGTCTGTCATACAGAGCCTGAAACAAACATATCCAATAAAGCAAATGCAAGTCTATAATAGTGGGCAAGTCTAGATTACTGCAGTATCAAATGAAGAGTTTCTGGGCTCCTTTTTATTATATTTTTCTAAAGACTATTTACAACTGTGTTTCTCTGTAAGATATGTTCATTTTGGAGACAAGATGTTAGTCTGGGGAAAATTCTGTGGTCAGAGATAGGAGGAGGTCACTTTTGAAACAAAGCTGTGGTAGTGAATGGCTCCAAGGTATTTGATATGATTGAGCAATGACACACTGGATAATTGAGGATAAACCTAGGACTGCAGCAGTGAGCTCAGCATAAGAGTGGCAGACTGGGTCAAAATACTCCATGCTTGTCAAAACAAAATGATACCAATGATCAGGTGGTCAAACGTGTAGCCTAACTGATTACGTGTTATCACAGCTTTACATCATGGGTCAATTCATGTTATCAACACCTGGACCCACTTGCACAAAGCGATCTTAGCGCTAAGATGATTGTAACTCCCATACTTTAACATAGGCTTACAGTAGTCTTAGTACTAAGATCGCCTTGTGCAAGTGGGCCCTGCATTGCATGGCCCAGTGTTGATTACATACAGGCTGCTGTGATATAGCAGGAACGTGCGGACCGCGGCAAAAGAATCCTTCACTCACAACAAACATATGTATACATCAGGGCCCCGTTCCACAAAGCAATTGTAGTGCTACAACTGTCGTATCAATGTTAAAGTATTTGATTAACGATCATCTTAGCGCTAATATTGCTTTGTGGAACAGGCCCAGGAGAATTGCTGACTGTGCAGGGATAGACACAACCCCTCGTCCGTTAATCCGAGACAAGTGAAAATCCAAAGGGACTATTTTTTTTCAACAAAAATCTTGCTACCTTACATAAACCACTAGCCTGAATTGACCCGCAGACTAATTGGATGTGACCAAGGTTGTCTACCCCTGCTGTGGCGCAAAACATTCACTGACTACAAACAAGAACATACCTTTTCCATGCCTGGGGCTTGTAGTGGCTCCATGAGAGCATACAGGTCGCTCTGAGAGGAACCGACAGCTACAAAGCTGTAGGAGCCACGAGTAAATGGATTGTTGCCCCACCTCGTTCTGACAAAAGATGAACAATAATTCTACATGCTTTCAATCTGTTCTATGTTGTATCAAAACTCACATAATTTGGCTCTAAGCAATTCATTTTAGCAATATCAATAAACATTTACATTCTTAATGACCGGCTTCCTACATTCAAAGTTAGCAATAGTGTTCGATAACACAAAGTAATCTTCTTTAATGGCAGTAAACATGAGCATTTATAATGATTTGATGTTATTTTCGGGTGTAGTAATTAAAAGTTGACGAGCGTTCTGGGAAAAAATAAAAAACAGGGATGGAGTAATGAGAAAGAGCAGACTGAACTCCCCATCTAAATTTTCAGGTTTAAATCCTCTAATATTGCCAGCATGCAGTTTTTAGAAATGAACCAAAAATGTCAAGTGGTCTTGAGAGCAGATATTTCTTTCAGAAAAGGAAAGGTGCATTTGGTAATCACAATTTAACATATAAATCCTCAATGAATGCAAATAATCCAAAAAGCAATTTGCAAATTAATTATTTTTAGTTGAAAACACATGATCAATGGGTTATAGTATGTGTTGCAGCAAAATTCAGCAGAAAGCCAAATGGAGCCTAGCAGTGTTGGAAATGTAGCTTTAAAGTCAAGGGGTGCTGATCATAAACCATACGTTAAGAGATTTAGGGTCCCTTGATTCAAACACCATAAAGACCTCAAGGACCCCTGAACACTTTGTAATTTTGAACACCAGTTCTGACAAGGGCCTCTTGGCGTTCCTGCTTAATTGGAACCAATGAACATCCAATATTAAAATATTGCTTACCGGACATTGAAATGTTTCTGTCCGGACATTTTAAAAAGTATTGTCCGGACATTCTTAAACTTTGACCGGACATGATCAACAGTTAGGACTGAGCAGTTTCTGTCTGCAGTTGTAACACAATGAAGATTATCTACACTGACAAGCTTTGTTTGTTATGGTGCTGTAAATACATCGTACCTACATGATAGTCCAATCGGTCAATCACTGTAATAGGCAATAAACTGAGTTGACACTGATTAATCGAGGATTAATTACTGAGAACATCTTGTTAATTTGAGTGAAAGGTGTTTACAACTGTACATAAATACCTTGCATCATTGATGTACCTCATTATCCTCACAATGCTTCGATACGTAACCTCAGACAAGCGAAAGCGTGACGACAGCCAGTCGACCGATGCAGATCAGTCGAGCGGATCTGCCAAACCCTCAAAGTCTGGACGATCATTTGTAAGTCGTGGCTAACGACTTTCACTTGGTTGACATACAATGAGGATTTGCAGATTTTATTGTTTTCAGTAGCTAGTCGTATATTGAATATTGACTGACCGCCATTTTGCTTTCTGTGACGATCGATATCATTTTTTTATGGTCAATAATTAAGTACAGATGAAAAAAGTATTCAAATAACTATTGCTATCAACGATATTTTAGTATTTGTGATTATATTATCTGTCTTGTTTTTAAATAATTTTTAGCTTAAAAAAAACCTTTTCCCGTTAGGTCACGTGATAACCAAATATGGGATAATAGTCTCGATCCAAATGTTACAACGCGTACACTTGAGCAGACTCATGAATATAACTCATGAATATTAATTAGACCATTCACTACGTTAACAGATCGTTATTATAACAGAAACAAACGTATGTTTTCCATGGTTATCTAAAATGATATTATTTGTTATTAATTGTCCGGTGAATTAAACAATTTAAATTGAAACAATTCATAATTCATCATATTATGAATACGTAACAACTTTTAATGTGTGTGAAAAGTCGTCCTAAAATACGCTATTTGAAGGGGGCGTGGCCTAAATGCAAATGTCCGATTGGGATTTTAAATTTTCCGGACCCCTGCGTGTACCCATCAATGTACTAGTCATAATCAGATTGTGTCACCAGTGGCTACTCACCTGAGTACTCGCTTGGGTGGTGGAATGTCATCTTTCTTGAGGAACTTTTTCAGGACACTGACACAGTCTTCCCCGATCTCCTCCTCGGTAAGGGATTCCATGAAGAGTGCCTCCTTCCCGGAGAGCCAGCCTGGAACCATACATGCCATCATAAACATACCGACACTTCTCAAACAGTGTTTACAGGCAAGAAACATGATCAGTCCTGTTCCAAGATTCATTTTCAATGCTACAATAAATGCACTATGTTCCAACATGTATTCGGAATACTGTTAATAGTAAAATTAATGCGTCTCCAAAAGAAAGCGACTGCTGGCCCCTAGCCAAAAATGCCACTCAATATGAATGAGAAACCGCCCTCCTATCAAGAATCAGTGGATTTACATGTATATATTAAGAAAATGTCTTCAGTCAGGTTTACAGGAGAATCTTCACCTTAATCCAACCTGATCTTAATCCAATCACACACAATATAGCACCGCTTATTAGCGCTCAGTAGAGTACTTACGCTAAAACAATACATCATGTTTTCCTAAAAACAACAGATACTTTTTGAGTTTATTCTGTTAACTGGCATTAAGGAAGTTCAAAGATCTAAGATTTGTGTGTGATGAAGCACATCCATGCACACTGGCTCGTGTTGGCCTTTTACGCAGTCGCAAAGAACAAAGACACCGTGTTGAGTCTGTCTGGACTTGCAGGTGTGATCAGTGATGACATAAGTGAGTAGAACTCTTGTCTTGACCCCAGCCGTGACAATTCACAGGATGTAATTAGTGTTTGAATGACATTGTTTATATACTTGTTACATGTGCTGCTCAGCAAACAGTGATGTGGTATACATAGTTGTTTGTTTTTAGCGTATGTCTAAGTTTGTATTTCTGCTGACCAAAATGTCTTTTTGTTGATATAAATGTGATGTTTATTAATGCGAGCAAAGACCACTCGCATTTTTGCATTTAATTCACGATTTACAGTGTTTCATCACTATTTGGGGGCATGGATGGCCCACTTGTCCAAAGTACCACAACTCCCCGTGCAGGGGTTGCATTCCTTGAAACCTATGATTGTGGGATTGAATCACGGTTTGCTCTGATCATGTTCCAAGTTTGTCAGCACCATACCTGTGCTTGTGGGTTTCATAAAAGTGGTAAACATCTGAGACCTGTATCACTTCGGACTTTCCTCACATGTTAAGTTGACACATTGTGATATAACTGGAATACTGTTCCAAGCGACATTAAACTAAACTCTCACATAAAAGATTTGCCATGTAAACACTCTGCTATCTAATAGACTATTTGGATCAGGCAAGGGGCAGCTGGAATGACATCCGACATCAAACAACATAATCAGTCTTATGATCTATTATGGATGATTAATAGCTAAGCTTTCTGGACAAAACAGAATGTTACTAGCTTTGGGCTACTGGGTAATGTCTATTTTTCTTTGCTGGTTATTTGAAGAAAGCATGGGATAAGTAGAGCAAATATGACTTTCATGCAAGCCATGCAAACTTGACTGAGAGAATACTTGTGTCTTCATGTACTTGTTAATACTATAACATGCATGTATGCAAGAGGACCTTTCATGGTCTGCAATGATGTTCAACATACAGGGATGGAACATAAGGCACATTTGTATACTGAAATCATGCAGCATTATGTTTTCCAAAGTAAGTAGAATTGTTCTAGAGAAAGTTGCCAGTGAACAGTGTCCCTACACAACCACCAGGTTCATGTCCACCTGCAGTCAGTTCAATGTCAAACACTTAGTTGCCAGTGTCCACCTGCAGTCAGTTCAATGTCACACACTTAGTTGCCAGTGTCCACCTGCAGTCAGTTCAATGTCACACGCTTAGTTGCCAGTGAACAGTGCCCCTTCACAACCACCAGTTCTGTCACACAGTAAGTTGCCAGTGAACAGTGTCCCTACACAACCACCAGGTTCATGTCCACCTGCAGTCAGTTCAATGTCACACAGCAAGTTGCCAGTGAACAGTGCCCCAACACAACCACCAGTTCTGTCACACAGTTAGTTGCCAGTGAACAGTGCCCCTACACAACCACCAGTTCTGTCACACAGTTAGTTGCCAGTGAACAGTGCCCCTACACAACCACCAGTTCTGTCACACAGTTAGTTGCCAGTGAACAGTGTCCCTACACAACCACCAGGTTCATGTCCACCTGCAGTCAGTTCAATGTCACACAGCAAGTTGCCAGTGAACAGTGCCCCTGCACAACCCCCAGGTTCATGTCCATCTGCAGTCAGTTCAATGTCACACAGTTAGTTGCCAGTGAACAGTGCCCCTGCACAACCACCAGGTTCATGTCCACCTGCAGTCAGTTCAATGTCACACAGTAAGTTGCCAGTGAACAGTGCCCCTGCACAACCACCAGGTTCATGTCCACCTGTAGTCAGTTCAATGTCACACAGTTAGTTGCCAGTGAACAGTGCCCCTGCACAACCACCAGGTTCATGTCCACCTGCAGTCAGTTCAATGTCACACAGTTAGTTGCCAGTGAACAGTGCCCCTTCACAACCACCAGGTTTATGTCCACCTGCAGTCAGTTCAATGTCACAGTTAGTTGCCAGTGAACAGTGTCCCTACACAACCACCAGGTTCATGTCCACCTGCAGTCAGATCAATGTCACACAGTAAGTTGCCAGTGAACAGTGCCCCTACACAACCACCAGTTCTGTCACACAGTTAGTTGCCAGTGAACAGTGCCCCTTCACAACCACCAGTTCTGTCACACAGTTAGTTGCCAGTGAACAGTGCCCCTACACAACCACCAGTTCTGTCACACAGTTAGTTGCCAGTGAACAGTGCCCCTAATCAACCACCAGGTTTATGTCCACCTGCAGTCAGTTCAATGTCACACAGTTAGTTGCCAGTGAACAGTGCCCCTTCACAACCACAAGGTTCATGTCTACCTGCAATTAGTTCAATGCTTCAGTATGGCAGATTAATGCTCCTGTTCACTGAAGTATGACCAGGTCTGGAAAACATGCTATAGCAGTCATTAAGCAGAGCTCTCTGAACAACAAAGCGGAAATGACCAAGAAAGAACCTGCAGTACAATAATGCTATATCCTGTTTATCAGCTCTAGGCTTTTAGGATTGTGGACAAGAATAATTTAAGCTGGACTCAAATTTCATAGAAATGCAGGTCATCAGAAGAAAAAGGTTTTCAATATGTATCTAACAGTCATAGAATATTGAAGTCGAGCTCAGGGTAAAAATACAAAACAAATGATAAAAATCTGTTTGTATCATGCAAAACAGCAATAATTCATAATGCAAGCCTTCGGTCGGAACTCAATACTGAATAAAATTATTGTTACATGACTAGGCATCAGCATGATCAAGGAATTGGAACAAAATATAATATTTTCAATTGTTATGACAGATAATGTATTCGAGTGCACAGAACATGTTTCTGAACCAGATGCTCACTTACTAAAACTAGATGAATTGATGGGTTGCTGAACAACATATGTTGGAAATGATCACATGTAAATGAACAGATAATATAACAAATAACAAAGAAACATTAAGTATGTATCTACATATATTGAATAGTCATCACGGTGAGTCACTGTACATACATATGCATTCCTAGCCTTGCTGAATAATCCTATTGGCTTTACTGTTGAAATTTCATGTTGATTTCAATGCATATCCAGAAAACTGCCTCATTTTATTTCATCATTATCTTTCATGTTTTTCAGCATGATGAATGGTTTCAGCATAATTTCCCATGAATGATTTCAGCATAATCGCTCATAGTTTTAGAGATCAGCAAAGATGAGGCCATACATCAACTGGCCTGAATTTATTGAGCCTTGAAAAACCCATACTTTTAACTCTGCTGACATGTCCAAGCAGCACCAATTGATATCAAGTCATAGCATTATTATTTCATTGGTACCATAGTCAGACAAACATGCAAAAACAAGATTTCTACAACATGTTTCTTTCCTCTGGGAATGTTTTCATTCAATCTGATCATAGTCACGAGTTAAATATGTAAATAAGGTTGCGGTATAACCAATATATTGTTAACGTAACAACAAGTGTGGACATTAAAGTAATGTTCAGTATCCTTTGGAAGCAATATTCTGTCAAGGCAAATGAATTCCAGTATATATTTTGTAAGGAGTAACTTCTTGCCATTTTAGTCTTCAGCCCTGAACGTGTGTGAGTTCATGGTTAGTGTCTCCTCAGGTTAGTCCTCCCACCATCATCAGTGACACCATCATCAGTGACAGGCATTCTTACAACATTCAGGTGTTTTAGGTATGTCCTGTAGGTCACATTCACACTGAACTAACATCCTCATCCACCAGTACGCCAACCTTCAAATACCTGGTCCTGACACAGACTGACTTGGGCTGATTTAATATTCTGAGGGAGGGGGAAGGAGGGGCTAGGATTTATCATAAAGATGTCACTAGTTTCTCTGAAAGGAAAAGCAAAACAAAATCTTTTGCAGCAGTTCCAGGACATGTCCAGTGAACCATTTTTTGTTGTAAACTTTTTTTCTCTCAGCATTTTCTTCAACAAATATTTCTTTTCAAACAAACAAATCATTAATTGTCAAAGGGACGATGAACCAAGTGTTTCAACTGATTCCTACTGCCACAAGTCAACAGTTGACTGTTGACACAATCATCTAACTGTTATTCTCCTCTAGCTCTGGCCATGTTTGCTGTCCTCCAAGCAACACCTAGGTGTCATGGGTAGCTCTGGTCATGTTTGTTGTCCTCCTAGCAACATCTAGGTGTCATGGGTAGCTCTGGTCATGTTTGTTGTCCTCCTAGCAACATCTAGGTGTCATGGGTAGTTCTGGTCGTGTTTGCTGTCCTCATAGTAAAACCTAGGTGTCATTGGTAGCTCTGGTCATGTTTGTTGTCCTCATAGTAAAACCTAGGTGTCATGGGTAGCTCTGGTCATGTTTGTTGTCCTCCTAGCAACATCTAGGTGTCATGGGTAGCTCTGGTCGTGTTTGCTGTCCTCATAGTAAAACCTAGGTGTCATGGGTAGCTCTGGTCATGTTTGTTGTCCTCTTGGCAACATCTAGGTGTCATGGGTAGCTCTGGTCATGATTGTTGTCCTGGCAACATCTAGGTGTCATGGGTAGCTCTGGCCATGTTTGTTGTCCTCCTAGCAACACCTAGGTGTCATGGGTAGCTCTGGTCAAGTTTGTTGTCCTAGCAACACCTAGGTGTCATGGGTAGCTCTGGTCATGATTGTTGTCCTGGCAACATCTAGGTGTCATGGGTAGCTCTGGTCATGATTGTTGTCCTCTTGGCAACATCTAGGTGTCATGGGTAGCTCTGATGATGTTTGCTGTCCTCCTAGCAACACCTAGGTGTCATGGGTAGCTCTGGTCATGTTTGTTGTCCTCAATCCACATGCTGACATTACCTAAATTGGCAGCTCAATTAACACTGTCAAACTTGTTTGGTGTTTGACATACTGTATTTCTTAGGATTTATACCTGTTCCTGGGAGCATAAACTTCTGACAGGACCAAAACATTACAGAAGATTTATCAACCTTCAAAGAAGGTACATTTACGAGACACTAAACATGTAAAATATTGATAACATCTGACGAACAGTAGTCAGTGCTGAAGTAGAACACGAAGAACGCATGTGATGTTTCAGGGCTATTTACAGCTCCAGATAAGTGAGATGGAATTTAGATGGGTCTCCGACCATTAAAACCTGCCCTGAGGCATGTGCTTACATAACATGCTTCAACTTATGCCAGCTTACAGAGCAGCTGTTGAGGTGATGTTGTCATACATAACAGACTTCATATATCTCAAGCTTTAATGTTTTTTGGGGGACTAGCTGGTGGGGATTTACCTGGACTTTCTATTGTTTATTGTTTAACACTGCACTCAGCAATATTCCAGCCATATAATGGTGGCCTGTACATAATCAAGTCTGGACCAGACAATCCAGGGATTGATATTATGAGCAACGATCCACATCATCAGGGTACAATGACATGCAATCAACAAAGTCCCTGAGTCTGACTACCTGATCCATTACATTGCCTCTTACCACCAGCATAGGTTGCTGGCCAATGCTGGGGACCCGGAATCCCCATGTTTTTTTTCTATTATGAGTCTTAAGGACTCTCAGTAATGATTAGTGGGGTGGGGGTGTCTCATACATGATCATTGTGGTCCCAGGCAAGAACTGTGTCAAAAAAACAAATGAAATATACATAATATGTGAAGCTTATGCCTTATTGAATCAGTAAAGAAATGCATAAAATTTAACATGTGTGCAACTTTGCATGGCCACGACTCAATTGACTTTAATATCTTTGCACTCCATGGGACTTGAGGTGCAAATATAGATGAAAATTGTGCATCCTGTAAAGCTTTGGGTGAGTGGAAGGTTGTCATATGAATTGTTCTAAGGGACAGAAAATGGTACTAGATGAAGAAGTTCATCTAGTCATGCTAGTGGCAGACATACCAAGGGCTTGTAGAATTTCAGGCTCTTAGAGCAGTCCTTATATGTGAATTTCTATAGCTGATACAGGTGAAAATGAAAATATTTCTTGTTTCTGCTCATCTTATCTCAATATCTAGATCTACACATGGCTTACAAAAGCAAATCTAGTTCACATTTGTTGGCCTGGAATAAAAAAGGCTGCAGTCATAATATTCATTTCCAAGTTCATTATGTAAAATTTATACCATCATGAAAAAATAATAAACTCAAACAGAATTCATTATATATAACTGCAACTGAGAAGCAGAATATTATTTTTCATGTCACGTTGTGACATTTGCATTTTCATGCCATGATCTTACCAGAACAGTGTCTTCAGCAATATTATCTATTTTCTTAACTTGTCTTGTATCATTTGCATATTTTACAGGTGTTTTACACATCTTTTCCACCATGTTTTCAGTCTACATTCCAATGATGTCCCGAGGCAGTACACAGGTGCAACACTTGAGGTGTTCCCAACATGTCAGGTTCTATATAACAGCATGAGGGTCTATTGGAAACACACACTGCATGTTTACTTGTACATTTTCTGCAATAGTGATTTCTATGTTCCTGTAACACGTGCAAGTGCAATGAGAGGACAGTAGGGTAGAAGCTAGGCAAAACAAGGGCTGGAAACATAATGAAGCACATCACCATCAGGCCATAATACAGTAATCAGTAGATTTCTAGTGTCCAAAATTAAGGAGGTCCTTGAGGTTTGCCCCTACAGTACTGGAATCTAGCGACCCCCTCAATCTCAAATATATTCAGTATTAGGTTGTGCGAAGGACCCTTTGACTTTCATCCTTAATTTCGAACCTGCCCGCCTCACAACCAAACACACTCCTCTCATCATACTGATGTTCCTAAGTACCTGTAGACGAAGGGAATCATGCAATCTCTCATTTCCCCACATGATGAAATACCCCATATACATGGCCCTAACAAACATGCATACTTCATCTGAAACCATGGCTGTTAATATACACAGATGTCTTGGACAGGTTGTTGAAAAAAATATACAAAAAAAAGAATGAAAAGAAAATGAAAGGCCTTCCATAAACCTGTTTAAAAAATTTAGATGAAAATCTAATAATTGATTTTGGCCTGAGAACTAAAAGTTAAAACCAGCTGAGACTACAAGTTAACAAGAAATAAAAAAATAGATACAAATTTAAAGTGTGTCCAGAGAACACTATCCTCAAGAATGTAATGCATTTTTAAAATGGCCATATGCCAGAGAAGAGATGACTTTGAGTGAAAATGGTCAACTGCTTTACCTTTCACAATGGAAAACTTCCAACAACATATATACTTAGTGGAACTACTTCAAGAATAGCAAACAAGTCTTAATATGCAAACAATGGCATCGCACCAAGTTATTGACAATGAGCTGGTTGACAAAATTGACTAGCTTGGTTATGTCCTCTTTGGGCAGATCTGCATCAAACCCATCACAATATTCTATACAGGAATTATCGATCATGCAGAATAATGAATAACTTGTGATGACACTCATGATGGTGAATTAAATTGAATGTTTGCAATGGAACAAGGGTGTTGATTTGCAATTTGCGGCTTTGGTTGCTGATGTTGCTGGGCAAAAAGCTAAAATGGCCAACATACCCATGATAAAGAATCTCTTTGTCTCTATTGGTCCTAATTCGCTGTCATTTTCTGAGAAGAAAAACATCAATTAAATCTGTTTCCAATTGCTGCTTCGCAATAATAATAATAATCATAATTAAGGAACATGATAGAGTAGAAACCAGGATGACAATGACACTGAGACTATGAGAAGTATCAATATCCTGATATACACAATTAAAATCCAGTTTCTATACTTATTTGAATTAAAAATAATCAGGATAAATACACACCGATTTCAAATTTAATCATGATAGTGATCAATGAAACTATTTTACGAGAAAAATGTTTTTAATATAATTAAACAGTGTTCATTCAGCATGTGTAGACTCAGAGCATGACAACAAAAACAATCACCTACAGTACATGCAACAGTTAGCATGGTTAGGAGAATGGTTTCCAGAACAGGGAAATTTATATCACAAACATAAATTGCACTTAAAACATTAAATCTGCTCCACTTGCCAATACCAGTATGTTAACATCGGAAGTAAGCATTGGGCATATGAAGCAAGCTCCATCCCATTGCGTGCCACATTCATTATGTCCAAAGATTTCACTGGGAAGAGCTATAATGCACAGCTTCAAAAGTAGATCTATCATTTCATTACCTGGCACATGAAACAGACTGGTTGACTGGCTCTATGATTTGATAATGTTAGATTGACATAATACATTGGGGTGGTAAATATGTTTTAGTTTTCATTCTGATCATCATAGATCAGGAATCCGAACAGCAATTCTGTGAGCAAATGACAGCTCTGGCGTCTTTACAAACCGGCTGACAGATTGTTCCAAGAAAAACTGATGCCACTGTTTTGTTCTTGAACTCCCGACACCAGAAAATAACCCTATATGTATCACTGTGACGCCAAAGAGCCCTACATTTTATGCAGATAGAATGAACACTGTTTTTACAAAAAAAGAAAGAACTTGATTTGCCATATTTTGGATTATCAATCAAGACAATACTGATGTTCATTATGCAATTCTTTTGAATATGCCGAAAGTGATCATCTGTTTAATGCATGGCAATTGCTTATGTTCAAAATTCTAGTAAACTATCAAGACTATCAAGACTATCAAGACTATAAGTAATCAGCATCTAAAAAAGATGATAAATTGCGCTTTTCTCAAAGCTGACTAAATAATAATGCTGAAAAAATATCTCACCAGAAATATAGCATTTACCTCTAAAAGCAAAATTGATCAGCCATCCATTAGCATTATTAAGTTAGACCATGTAGACCTGTGGCAGTTACTGAATTCAGGAAGTATTCAGGACTGACTTCAGACTCCTTAACTTTGAAATAATCACATAGGTTTATCCAACACAGTGGTAGGCATGCATATTTATAATGAACATGATGATCCCTACATCACTCGCCATACAAAACAATAACAAGAATGTTCCAAAATAACATTTCTGGAATTAATAATGACACATCTAGGACTGAAAAGGTGACAAACTGAATTTGCCATGTGACATTATATGATATCAAAGATGATCAAGGGAGTCCATAACAGATCTGAATATGGATGATTTGGCTGACCAATCCCTATCTATGTACAACATGGTACAAATACTACAATGTCATAAAAATCTTATTCTCTGATACGATACCTCTCGGTGGAAGATCTGACAAGGATTGCATAGCAGATCACGTCAGGTGAACTTACCAATCAGCCAATCAGCATCAAATTTCTCTGTTTGAGTGAGTGAAGCAGCTGATCTGATTGATTCACCTCAGAAACAAACTTGCACAGCCAGTTCCGAATGTAAATAATGAAAGGTGTGTCATTAATTGTGGATATTTCATACACCCTTTCTGAACGCCATGGTATCGACACCTAAAAGGAACTCCATGGAATCTCCACCCAACATGGAGTGCAATAGAAGGAATATTTGTCTACTTTGAAAGTTTCATTTGTAATAATCAAAATTTCCACATCATGGTAGTAAAGAAATGAATTGTTCAAGAAAGGTGACATCTGTCTGGCTCAAGAGAACATTCTTCACAGAGATTGTGCTGTCAAAGTTCACCCACAGTTCAGCTGAAATGAGGGGTTGTCACATCTCCACAAAGAGGGGTATCGTATGTCCTATCGAGGTCTGTCTTCACAGATAAGTACAATGACTGAGGGATGGGAAACAGTGGTCACACAAAACATCTCATCACATACAACAGGATACACACAGATCTGTGACATGGTAGATGTCAGCAAATCTCTCACAGCTCACATAGCAAGAGAATAACTTGAGCAAAACAAGGTGCAAAATCAGCAAGATGAGCGTGCAAGGCAGCAAATCAGATTAATTCTGTTTCAATTTCTTTAATAAGTCACCAAACATATTCAGAAGCCAACTGCCTTCTACCGGCATTGTATTAGAAAGGAGAACTGAATAGAGCTATACCAAAAACTCACCTCCTTGAACTTGTCATTTGGCATCATTTTTTATTTAGTTTTAATCCATTGGCTAAGATCGGCTAAGCCTTAAATACCAGACTGAATTTAATTATACTAGACTGTGTCCTTGGATTAGTAGGTTACACCTGCTGATAATTACTGCTTATTATAATAACTTATTATCTATATAAGAACTATCATCAGATCTGACATTTGGAATAAGCATATGAACAGGACTGACATATCTCAGTTGATGTCTGATTTTTGTTCTTAAATCTTAAACCATGACTAAGTCATTCATGCCTGTCATTATTAAATAGTTGTATGAGTCAGTATATACAGTCATCAAATATATGTTTAGTTCACTGTATCAACACTGAAAAATGTCATTATGGATCATGTTAAGTGGATAGCTCCTACAGATATGCTTCTCATATATACTCGTCGTAGTGAAAACTCTTTTGAATCTATTTGCTATTCGCACAAACTTACCTCCTGAATAATTGTGAATACATTTTCAGCAGATTCTAGCATAGAGTTAGAAATTGGCACCAGTCCTATAGTCCTTGCCAAACTGCCCATTAGTTAAGGTATCCTAAGGACTAGTAGAAATTTGCCCATTTTAAGGGTTTTGCTATGCGTTATCATTATAAGGACAAGTGGTGTAAAACTGTTAGTTTCTACCACAGTAGCATGTGTTTAATTTTCAGATATGGGCTGTTACAGCTTACTACCATGCCCTGAGACCAAACAAAAATTTAGTAGACTATGGCAATGAACTAGTGGCTTTGTACATGTTGTATCACAGCAGTAAAAGAGTGAAAGAGAAAACTCCTAAAAGTATTAATGTAATTATGATTATACTTGAGACAAATAAGTGTTTATTGAAAGACCATGACTTTAGAGGCGTCAGAGGATGAAGAGCTTTGATTTGTAACCCACTCTCAAAGTCTTCACTGAAGCCAGTCAACTGAACAGTAAGAAGCAAAATGAAAAACAGAGAAGAATGTGGTTATCATCAAACAGGAGTGAGGCAAATCTGCAAAACAGATGGTTTAGTATAACATGGCAAAACCATATTTTTGCTGCCATGTAACCCCAGGTGATGTACTGTACACATGGCAGAGGTCGACACTGACTTGACAATACAATGAGATCCAGCGTATAAATGATAAATCCATCTCATCATTCTGTGCTGCAAGCGATAAACCCAGAAACTGTCCTTCCTCATCATTTTAGTAGAATCCTCTACTTTCATAGAGGATGTCATAAGTGAAGTTTTTTATTATCTAGATTGACAGAAATTTCACACTGGCTTTAGCATATGAGTGAACTCTGCTTTGAACAGTATTTCAGTTAACTTATATCACAGACATGTCATCTTGATGTGCAAAAAGGGAAGATTTAAATTTAATGCTGGTCCGTTGGCTCGCGACCAGTCAAAATTACAAAGCGCTTGTTAGCCCGTCTGGCTAGGTGGCTATGCGACCCTAGGTTCGGCCTCTTCGTGGCCTCCACCATTTAGTTGTAGGCCAGTTAGTTTGTAGAAGGGCCAGTAACTTTTAATAGGAACAAGCCCTGCTGGCTAAATACAAGTTTGTTGTTAAATCTACCCTGTACAGTGGGAAGAAAGCTCTAGTTGATCACATTGATGCAGGTTTTACATGTTTACCTCTTTGGTGAAACCAAAGATATAACCTGAAAACCGGCATTTGAACACATAATAACAGGTCAATGGAAAGCCTTTAGAGATGCATCTCTGCACAGCAATTTGCGGCCCTGGTGGCTGGGCCATCCTTGCCCCCTTTGGAAAAGGGATGAAGTATCTTAGTCCCAGATTCCCTAGCACCCACAGAACGTTTATTAACTAGATTTACAGTACTCAACAATTAGGCTTTGGCTACATAGATAACGGTATAATCACCTAACAGTTAGATGCAATTACTACTGCTGCAAAATACAGCATTATGTAATAGAATAATCACAACTCACTGTAACATAAATGGAGTAAGATATAGCTTGGCCTAATGCCTAAATATCTAATTATCCTTGCCAAAAACGTTTGACTTCATTATCAGAACTTTACATGTCTCTTGGCATCATTTTCAGTAGATTTTAGTGTTTGAATGAGAACACTCATAAGCTGAGACAAAAAGATCTTCTTGACGCAGGCTTCAAAATTGCAGCTGAAGTTGCAGACTGGTATTTGTGTATCCTGTATTTACCTTTCCTCTGTCTTGACATACACCAAATTAAGCAAAGCATAAAGGAAACAGCAGTACACCATGGTACAAGCAATGCTGAACACTGCAGAAAGCAGGAGCTGAATGCTAAAGGGAAACCACTCTGTTTTATACTTACCCACAAGAATGTTTTCATGAACCACCTCAAAGGAATATATTTTGCGGTACCATGTTTTCCGTAAATCTCGCATTGGGTCTCTTAACTTATCCCAGAGAAGCTCTATCCTAAAGACATCGTCATCCACAATGGGTTTATCAAACTCCAGAATCACCTTGTCCACTATTCCAAAGCCTAGATTGTCAATAGCATGCAGCTTTTCCTCCGTCAACGAAGGGTTGAACATCCTATCACATGCTGCTTTTAGAACACCTAGCGACACAGTGGAAATAACATGATTTGCATAGAACTTTTCACCATTTTCACACTCGACACACACCTCCCCGCGTGATTTATCCTGTATGTCCCAATGCACAGTCTTTACAGGGGTGTTGAGGAGAATGTTCTCTTTGGGGATATTTTTCTTGAGGATTTCAAGCACAGTTTCAAATCCAGGAGGAATAGTGTAATGGATGCCGGGGAGTTCTTCGTAACACCCAAAATCTCCCAGCGATACTTCCTCTAAGCGGTCACACCCACTTATGCAGCACTCCAATAAAGTCCTCTGGTTGAATATTGATTCCCGCACAAGTCTGTCTCCATTGGAGTATTTGTTGAGCTTTTCTTGAAACTCACGATCCAGGAATGCACCCACACTGTCATTCTCCTCCGGGGTGGGCATGTTTGACTGGAAGTAGTCTTCACACTGCTGGATGAGCATTCCGTAGGTGAAGTCCACTTCCTTGACCATCTTCTCATTGATCATTTCCCCACCCTCGCTGTAGAACAGGTCTCTACGACGCAGGCTCTTGTCCTTGTTGCGGAGCTGGAGGAGATGGTTCTGGTCTGCTATCTGATAGATGGGGTTCCGTTCAATACCATGGATCCAGTTGGCACCAAGTTCTGCTTTGTGTCCATCCTCACCTGAAAAAATGGAAGATCTTATTAACAAAACAGCTGACACAAACAATATTCTGAACTGCAGGAACTTCTTCAAGATAACATAAAAAAACAAACATACCAGAATATTTCAGGGTCCTACCAAATGAAAAGAAAACTTAATGGTTACCATATGGTAAGTAATTTCCATACTCTAATTAAATAATTGACTCCTCCGAAAAGGTAGGTTATCAAAAAGAGGGGTTCTGCAGAAACCTTTCTGATTGGTTTAACCATATGCTTAAGCAGTGTTCAAAATTATTGCAGCATATCAGATGAGCAAACACTGGTATGGGTTTTCCAATTACATAACATACTGTTAAGCTGTTAACAACTGATATAGAAAAGAAAGGCTTGTTACGTAGAAATAAAGCAGGTAGGTTTATATAATGCCAACATACGAAACACACCCAATTTCAAATCCTAGGAGCTCCCATGATAACTATAACAACAGGCGAACTAGCCAAACAAGAGATAATTTCAATCTCTGCTTAATCGTGTCAGAATTACACTCCTTGACTGTAATAATGATGCACTCTAACACTTGGCAATGTCTAACCGCAGACAAACTTAATTTGAGCCAAGTAGGGGCCAGGGGGGGGGGGGGGGGGGCAGGCATGTGCGTACTAGCCAGCTGGTCTGTTGTGATATCTCCTCTTATCTACTGGAGACACATGTTACAGTTTCTCCATGTCTGTCTGTGGGAGGCCAGGAATCTGCAACACTGGAGCCATCCACACATTCTCCTGGTATTGGACAAGTGTACTACAGTATTGTTCAAGTGCACTTCAACTTTAAACTGGTTCACATGTACGTGGTAATAATTAGTGTGCTTTAGAGTTGATGACTGCTTATAGAAAATAAATGTCATCCCAAAGGATTTACCTTAGACACATTGATCCTAATTACATAATATGAAAGAAATTCCTCAAACAGTTTTCATAAATATATTGGCTTTACTCTTAGTCTTTGCATAATACTACATGTATCACATTATAAGGCAGTCACCCCCACTGTGCTGAGTACATTTGAGTCTAACCCAAGTATTTGGGCATACTTTTCAGTCGATTTTAGAGAAAATTGATCTCACTAGACCAGAAGAAATCTTATCAGACTCGGACTTCGAACTATAGGCTAAAATCTCAGACTGCTCTCACCATGTGCTAACTTATATAAAACAATTCAATTTGGGCAAGTTCATGCAAGAACAATATTTTTGGAAAGAGAACTAGTCCCAACAGAAGTCTTTACCAAAATTCTTAGCAACATCTTCAGTAGATGTTAGTCTCATTATAAGGGCTATAATTAGCTGAGCTTACAAGACCAAACAAAAACAAAACTATAGATTAATGGCTAAGGTTGCAGACTAACAGATTTTCACTGTTCTCATGCTAACAGTCTTTTAGGGAAGTTTACAGTAAACATCCACTTCAATGTGGTAGGGTCAGTATCTCATGAAATGGCAACTTTGCTTTCTACTTCATATTAAAGATTTCACTAAGACACCTAGAATACTGGAATATGTACACAAGTGAATGTACTTTCCCTTCCATTTAAAAGTGGACTTTGCCAGCAGCATGTGGATGTGAGGAGTTAAAAGTTAAAAAATGTCAAATCAGACCCTGCACCAAACTACGTATTTCCTGTATCACAGTCATGCAAAGGTTGAGCATGTGTAAAGGCTAACGGAAAAATTGAGTGTAATTCTGGTCAAAATGGATAATGCCGACAAGCGTGTGATTCTGTCTGATCATATTTACCCCCATCTTCATCCTTTTCCCACTAACACTGGCGGTGGCGTTGCCTGGCAGGGTTAAAACTCAACACAAGCTTACCAGCCTGGGGCTATTATCACATTTCCCAGTTTCCCCATTGTTGTAACATTACAAGGGTATGTGTCCTGAACCAGGGCTAGCAAAGGTTTTGAGTTTAGTTCAAACCCTGCTGGGTGGTTTATGTGTTTGCTTGTTACTTTGTTTGTTTGTTTGTTCTTTAATGCCGCACTCAGCAATATTCCAGCTATATGATGGCGGTCTGTAAACTAATCGAGTCTGGACCAGACAATCCAGTGATTGACATCATGAGCATCGATCCACACAATTGGGATCGATGGCATGTATCAACCAAGTCAGCGAGCCTGACCACCTGATCCCGTTAGTCACCATTTACGACAAGCACAGTCACCTTTTACGGCAAGTATGGGTTGCTGAAGACCTATTCTACCACGGAATCTTCACGGGTCTGCTTGTTACTACAAAGCCTGGGTTCGATCCCCAATATAGGTTGAATTTGTGAAGCCCAACAATTTGTCTCCCAACAATTTATTGCTGGAATATTTCGCAAAGTGACATAAACCACTTAACTCACTCATGCATTCAGTTACAAAAGACCCATGAAGATCCGGGGAAGAACAGCAACCCATGCTTGCCATAAAAGGCGACATGATGTCAATCACTGGATTGTCTGGTCCAGACCTGATTATTTACAGACTGATGTCATATAGCTGGCATATTGATGAGTGTGGTATTAAACAACAAACAAAGATACAAAAAAATATGGATCAGCAATGTTAAGGCTTGAATTCAAAACATATGGCAAATGAATGCTTTAGACAATTATAAACATTTAAGGGATCAGCCCAGTTCATATTCAATGTTAACTTGACTAACTGCAGGTCCACATTGGTAATAATTAATCTTTACACATTCAGTATAATTAATCATATTATTAACCAATATATGAATACTAAACTTTCCAATCAATGACACCTCCAATTAGGGCTGGGACGAGTAACTCGGGTACCCGGGTCGGGTGGGTACTGAGTAGGACCTGGGTACCCACAGGACTACCCGGACCCGTGGTTAGTCATGTGATATTTAGTTTAATGACAAAAAATATCTTGAACTGTATGGTTACACTACAAATCACTAATGTTCGCATTTCTTTCTGACTATGCACCCATTCCTTCTGACTTTTCATATGGTTGAATAAAGATATAACTTAAGTCAACAGTGTATGCATGACCAGATCGTTTAATACATGTGTCTAAATACGTTTTGCAAGTGCGGTGATAAAACAAAATTCCCAATCGGACATTTTGTATTTCTTGAGACCTACAGTGGGTACCTGGGTAGGGTCGGGTAATAGGGGGGTGGATACCTGGGTAGTAAATTTGGACTCGTCCCAGCCCTACCTCCAAAGCTGGAGAGAACTTCCTTCATGTTGAATGGACAGTTGGTCCGAATTTGAATTTCTCGCTCCCTTTGATTAGTGTACATGGACCGAGTTACTGGGAGTGGCTGCCCAATGCTGATAGTGGGGCTCACATTCTGCACAGCAGATAACACTGTAAGAAGGTCTCACAACAAGATACCAGCCAAGATTACACACGCAATCAATGCCAAAGGGGCTGACGGATACACATTTCTCGTCTGTAACTTGAAAGATGATAGAGGCGTGGGATGGTGTTAACTAAATATAGTTCACCCCTTTTATAAGTCAACAGAGGTGTGAACATCACTACACAAAAACTCTTCCTTGCCTTCTTAAAATCATTAAGATAATGGGTGCATTGCTAACATTTGTAAAAAGTTACAATGTGCCCTCCATGTGGGTGGTTCTGAACAGTGTGGATTGTTCTGTCAAGGACTTAGACAAACCAATCTCATTAAAATCAGATCTTAGTTCTCGCTACCGCATTAGGGGTCATGTCAGAACCGACCTATCCGACCAATCAGAGCTTCGCTTACCAGATCATGAAAGTGACAGTCGGAATGTGATTTCTCATCATGCAGCCTTGAAAACTTTAAAACAGGGTATTCTGAACGATAGTTACGGACTTAGCGACTGAATCTATACAATGTAGGCATTCGAGAATGTTCTTTTGTTCAGGTTTCAAATTTTTTAGCGAGAATTTGTCAAAACGTGTTTCGAAGCGTTGTTGCCAATTTGAAATTAGTGCCGTAAAGCATGAGAAAGCTGCCTTCTGATTGGCTAATGTCGACTTCTTGTCAGTAATTCCATTTGTCGGTCAGTTTGCGAATGGTCGGTCTGACGTGACCCGTAATGGGATGTCCTCAGATCTTTGTGTGGCGGCAGCGAGAACTAAGATCCGATTTTAACGAGATCGTAGACAAACAATATAGTAAATTTGTTAATATTAATCATGATAATCAAATATCATGATTATGCTGTGACTTTCATCATATGCTTTCTGAGTTACTGGCCCAGAGTCTAGTTCTTTTCGGTCAAAGTAATAATAGTCCAAATACTTAAAATCTACTAAAAATGGTGGTAAGAGTTATGTTCTGGATAGTACACTAAATAGTTGATGACACAGACTGCTGCTCTTGACACGGACACAAATGCTTGGTTTTCAACAGCTTCTATGGACATATTTTGAAACTAGTATCTGGGAAAACATCTTTTCACATCACTGACTTGAAATACTGCTCCATATAGGTAAGCTATTAAAACACGTTATGACATTTATCATTTTGCCCCGAGGATACCCTTAACAATAACATTGGGAAGACTGCCTCAGGTGAGTATCTAACCTTTTCAGTGGTATGTGTTAACATTTTCAGTGGATAACTACCGACTGCTTACGATAGACTCACACAACCCATAAACCAGTAAGTAGACTAACGCTTGGTCTCTGAAAATACATAATATTGATAGAAACAAACAGTTCCAATCCAATTGAAAAGGAGGCCCAATGAGATGAGATTAAACCCGTGAAAAATCTAGACTTGCTTCATTTAGGGCTATAAAATTACAGTAAGGGCGGAAGGGAAAATAATATGGTTCAAGTTTTGTGAAATTTATCGTTTGGCTCAGATGCCTAATTCTCAACAACTTTCAATATACTCTTGAAAGCAGGGCTCAATTTAAGGAACTGGATTTAACTTGCACCAGGTGCTTGTTGACATGAAAACATAGTTGCAGCAGACAAAGACCATGTTGCACCCTGGTGCCATAAATGT